ATGATTGCGATAATCATTTAAATAATTGCTTTTATTTTAAGAATTAATGTTGGCCTTAAAATACTTAATTTAATGATTGTTCAGATTAATCATAAATTCCATTTGAATATGAAATCTAAATTGAATCTGATGAGGTAAAGATAATGTATTGTTAAAACTACAAGTCTTAAGATCCATAATTGAATTGTACTTATGAAGCCCATATCCCAAATTCTTGTCAGCCAGCAGTAAAGTGTGAAGATTATTATAATCATTGTTTATTATAGATTGATGATTTAGGAAGATAATGTCTATACTCAGAAAATTATTAAAATTGCAGATCCTAAATTTGTTCTGATATTTTTTATCCTTAATCATAGATAGATTGTGATATGAAAGGAGTAGGATTAAAATGTGTCTATTATAAGGGTTTATGCATAAATGATGATGCTAACTGTGAAGATATAGAATCAATTGGATATAATCTATAAAAAAAATAAGAATTTTGTGAAAATTTAAAAGCTTTAGGGACTTGCACTTATGTTCAAGGTTAATTTTGTACAAGAGTAAGTTCATGTGAAAATTATGATGTATCTTAAGTATTTGATAAACTAGGTATTTGCTCACTTTTAAAGGATACATATTCAAAAAGTTGTACATCTATTAATAATATAAATTGTATTTCACTTGGAGATTGTTTTAGTTATGATAGTACTATACAATGGAATTTAGGCCCATAATAAGACCAAGAAGAAATTTAATGCAAATTAATAAAATCAATTTAAGGTTATCCTTGTATAAAAGATTCGTATCTTAAATGTAGAGCATAAATTTGTAGTGATAATGATTCAAATGAGAGAGATTGTATTAATAATGCTCCATAATGTATATATTATAAATTATAATGTTTAAACAAAGTAACTTGTGCAACATATATATTTACAGGAGGAGATGATAAAGAGAGAAAAGAATGGTGTGAGGGAATTTAAAATATTAATGATGAATTTTGTGCTTTTGATTATTTAAATTAAAAATGTAAAGATAGACAATGCAATGATGTTAAGTATTATTCTGATTTAGATTGTAAAAAATACAAAAACACATGTAAAACAAATGGACAAATATGTGTTGATATAAATTTAAATTGCAACTAAATGAGTGGTTCTTTTGAGTTTTGTAATTCAATAACTGAGAAAAATGGAATAGATAAATGTACATTAATGGTACCAGCATAAGAAACAATAAGAAATTGTGTAAATAAATCATGTTATGACAATGTAACTGCTATGACTGATGATGAATGTGAATATTATTTAAAAGAATGTGTAACTAGAGGCAAAGGATGCATTCCAAATACAGAACCTTGTTCTTCATATAGAGGTACTAAAATATAATGTGAAAAATTCAAATAATTTATAGGTTTAGATTTAAATAATAACAAAATTTATAAATATTGTTCTGGGGAAATAGATAATACTTAAGATAGTATATGTAAACAAAGATCTTGTACAGATAATACTATTGCTCTTTCTAATAAAGAATGTTCTGATTATATGATTGGATGTGTGAGTAAAGGTATTGGATGTATTGATTAAAATTTACCATGTAGAGCTTATATTGGAGATTAAAACACTTGTTCTTAATTTATGGGAAGTAATGGAACAAAATATTGTTGGAATACTTCATAAGCATCTTTGAAATCTAATTGTATAGAAATGAAATGTAGTGATGTATTAGGATAAAGTAATGAAGATTGTTATTCAGGAATGAAACCTACGACATAAATTAAAATTTTTTGTGTTTTTGATGGAACTAGTTGTATTAATTATGGTCAAACATGCCAATAATTTAAAGGATAAGATGATAAGACTTGTTCTAATTATATTGCTATAGATGGTCCATGTAAAGTTGGTTTATATGGTTTTTGCTCTCAAAGAGAATGTAATGAAGCTCCAAACAATTTGAAAACTGATGAAGATTGTTAAAATTATCATAAAAGATGTTATACTACAGGTTATGGTTGTTCTCATATTAAATCATGTAACAATCTAATTTCATATGATTCTTGCAATCTAAGAAATGAGTGTACTTGGGTCTAATAATGCACTAAAACAACAGACAAATGTCAAAAAATGTCTGGTACTACTTTAACATAATGCTTTAATACAAAAGTAGATGGATAATAATGTTTTTGGAATGAAAAAACAAATACTTGTCATGAATAATAATGTGAAGATTTATCTTCAAATATAAAAAAACATGAATAATGTTAATAATTTTCAATTCTATGTACTTCTACAGGTGCTGGTTGTATAACTATGGGTTTATGTTCATCATATATTAAAGAATCTATATGTTAATATGCTATATCTTTGAGAGACAAAAAAAATTAGTGTAAATGGGAAAATGGTAAATGTAGAGAATTTACATGTTCTGATGGGATAGCATACTCTGATTAATAATGTCGAAAATATTCATCAACATGTAGAACAAATGGAAAAAAATGTGTTGATTCATGTAATGGATTCATCGATTAAAATCTTTGCACTCTATCTGATCTTGGTCCATGTTTGTGGGTTAATGGATCCTGTCACTTATTTACCAAATGCTAAGATGTAAAATAAAACACTCATTTCGAATGCTAATAGTTCTCTTCTTAATGTACTACCAATGGATAATACTGTATTCCTATTACTACTTGTTAAGATACTATTTTATAAGAATCTTGTAACATTGGTACAGATGGAATATGTGTATGGTTACCAACAGGTAAATGTAGTAAATTCTAATAATGCTCAAATCTTATTTCATCAATTAATGAAGAATGTCTTTTAATTGGATGTATATCTGATGGAACAAGATGTGTTGATAAATAAAATTGTATTGATTATCACAATGAAATCGAATGCAAAATAGGAATTGATGGAATTTGCATTTGGAACAATACTTCTTGTAGGTTGATGTAATGTTATGATTTCTAATATTCCAGTCATGAAATATGCTAAACCATTATGATAAATTAATTATAATGTACTACTAATGGTAATAGTTGTATTCCAATCTCAAATTGTTAATCTTATAATTAATTTGGATGCTATATTGGAATAGATGGTGATTGTTTTTTATCAAATCATATTTAAAACTAAAAACTATGTAGATTAAAATAATGTGATGATATTCCAAATGGTATCACAAATTCTATTTGTCAAATTACTAACTAATAATGTGTTTCTAATGGTTAAAATTGTATTGCCAAAGCTGAATGTAAAACTTATAATAATGTTATATCTTGTAATGGAGGAGGAATAAATGGTTAACCATGTTTTTTTACACCTAGTATAAATAATCATCATTTTGGAACTTGCAATAATTTTTCTGATTGTACTTAAGCTAATTAAGATAAATATGCTTGTAATTCTAATAAATCTTGTTTTTGGAATTCAGAATCTAAATGTCTTAATCATACATGTGAAACTTTTGCCAAGGGTCAAATTTGTCGACCAGTTCCTAATTTTAATCATGATAAATACATTATATGTATCCTTAAAGATTAAAAATGTGTTACTGATGATCCTCTAAATATTTTGAATCCTACAGATTGCTATTATTAATCAGCATTTACTTACACTTGGAACTCATAAACACTCCAATGTTAAAGGTGCTTATTACAAAACAACACTAATAATCAAAATGAATCTAAAACTGATAATCAAAATAAAAATTAAACTAATAATCAGGGCTCATTTTTAATCATCCCAATAATAATTTTTAATTTAGCATTTTGAATGATAAATTTTTAGGAATTATTTTTTAAATATAAAATATTTCAATTTTATTTTACTCTTTACTTTTAATTTACATTTTTTAATTAATAAATAATAAATTAAATTTAAATTTTCACAATTTGTTTAGTTATATGAAAAATAATGAATTCAATTCTATTTTATAATTCCTATCTTTCATTTAATTAAATAGTTGTTTATCAATTAGATCTTGGTTTTGAATCCAATCTTATACACAATTCAAACTACGCTGATAAAAAAAATAATTTAATATCTCACTTTTTATCCCAGCAATTTGAAAAAAAATAGTATAAAAAAAATTGTAAAAATGAACTTTAATTATAAATAATAATTTAAAATTTATATTGTTTTTATATTAGTCCAAGATAACTTTAATACTAAATTTTACTGTCCTATAATTAGATCTTTTAAATAAAAATAAAATGATTGAACACTTTAATATTTTAAATTAATTCTTATTCCACATCATCTTTGTATATAATTTATAAGATTTAAAGTATAATCTAATTAATTATATTAAGATATTTATAATTTTATTATGATTATGATCACTATGACATTTTGAAGAATCATTGTAAAAATCTAACAATATTTAATTAGTCCATTTAAGTAATTTAAAAAAAAAGAGTAAAAATAAAAGTAAAATAATTGATCAAATAAATATTTATTGATGATAAAAATTAAATTAGCTTAAAGAAACCTTTTGATACAAAATTAGATAAATAAATATATCTTCAATATTAAGTTAATTAAAGCAAAATTAAAATTTCATGATGAAAAATGATTGATTAAAAAATAATGGTTACCAAATTTTATACTTTTCAACTTTGATACAATATTATAAAGAATTCCTATGAATTAAAAAGATCTTTTTAATTTTCAAAAGTAGATTAGTTACATTATTTTCAACTTAAAATATTACAAAATTTTTTTATCTTTTGTTTGCGGTATCAACATTTTCAGAATGAGAATTAAATTTAAACTAACAAAGTAAATATAATTAAGATTGATTTATGATTTACTTAAGGGGTTTCAGTTATGATACATTATTTTTTAGATACTATCAAAAATAAATTTTTCATATGGTTAATGGTAAATTTATATTAATTTGTTAAAAAGTAAATGCGTCTGAGTATGACGCAACTAGTTTTTATTAAACTTTTTAGCCTAAAAATAATATCTATAAATCATTAATAATATTTTATATTTAGATTGAAAATGGGTTGCTTGCTTGAAAAATTATAGAGAGAAAAATTAAATTAATTAAATAAGGTTGAATAATTACAACAACCTTTGGTTGAAAATAAAATTTAAGTAGAAAAAATAGAGCCAGAAATTTTCATCCCTGTGGTATGATATTTTCATAAAATACAAGGAAGTTATAGCATAAGCAAATGAATAAAGAATTTTGCAATTATAAAAGAAAAACTGTTCAAGAAATTTTCAGATAGAATAATATGAAAGATAAAAAAAATTAAAAAAATGTGAAGAATATGAAATAGAAAACAGAAAAAAAGGAGCTTATTTTTTAAAATGGTCAATCAATTGTTGATTTTATTCTATTTAATTCCTATTTAAAATGATTCCATCTGTGAACAAACCCTACCTGAACAATAGTAAAAAATTCTCCTTCATATTTATTTATTTTAAAAAGCTCATTTTAAACTTATTCAATTATTCAAAGATAATACGCAATTTATGTTTGATCTTAAAAGTTTGTTTAAAATCATATTCATGTTAAAATTCAATCTATGATTAATTTTTGGAAATAATGATGTAAACAAAATTACCTAATAAAAAGTTTTTTCATACTAATATTCCTATCATCTTCAGAAAATTCACATTATAAGTTCCATTATAAATTTATAAATATATATAGAATTTATTGTAAATATTGCATATTATATTTTGAGATTCATCAGCAATTAATTTTTAAACCTAAATTTTTTTATTAAATAATAGGGGCCTCTTTTTCCTTTATCAATTAGTTTGATAAAAATTGATTTTAGCCATAGATATAATGGTGATATATTCTTAACATTATATTACATTACATTAAATTCTATTATTTAAATCATGATGATGGGAGAATAACATAGGTCTATAAACTTTAACAAAAATTTTAGCTTATTTTTTTAATAAGCAATTGCAATTATTTACTTATACTTAAATGAATAGTTTAACATATTTTTGGTTTTAGGATTAAGGAACTTTAGAAAATGTTTTATTTAGCTTCTATTTTATAGAATTATTTCTTCTTCTTCCTTTTTTAATTTAAAGGCTTACTATTTTATTGAATTTCTTTTAACATATAAGAAATTTCCTATATTTCTATTAAAATAAATTAATTTTAATCTAAATTATTCTGTAACAAATTTGAATTCTTTATCAAAATAAGTTTACCTTATCTTTAAGTATTATAATTTAATTTTGAATTCCTTATTGTAATTTTTATTTGATTCGCTAAACATATATTTTAAGTTTATTTACAGATATTATTTGTGCTCCTTAGCTGTCGAATACTAAAAATTCATAACTGTAATCTCTATCTTAAGTAATATAAGATTCTTTCTCTTGGTCAAACAATAATTTATTATATCTTTTACCAATGATATTTAATATACGAAATTATTTTGCATCAAGTGTCTTTATGAATCAATGGAAAAATAACACGAGATTTAACAACTCAATTTGAAAGCTCACACTATTAAATTATCATTCATTTATTATTGTTTCATAATAAAATTAATGGCTATAATTTGTATTTTGATCATCTATTTCAGCAATTTCTAGAAAATAATAACAATTTTATGTGGTATCATCCTACTTTTTATGATTTATTATTATTATATAGTACATTTAGGAAATAAAATATAGAAATAGCCAAGAATGTAATTTATGAATTTTAAAAAAATTCTAGCCAATTTTTTGTTAATTAATAGAACAATATACTAATTTGAATATATATAAATGATATGTAAATTTATAAAATATTGAAATATTCTGGTTCATTAAAATTTTCATTTCATTAAATATGATTAGCAAAGGGGGAAAAAATTCTAAAATTGAAAATTATTGATGAAAAATAAGTTTATTGGAATAACTATTTTTGAGTAGTCAACAAAAATAAATCAAACAATTTCCAAATGAATGTCGAATATAATTAATGAATTTCTTAATTGATAATTTTTAGAACCTCTTAATGGTTTTACTTTTAAAATGCTTAAATAGTGATAATTTAGAAATAGATATTTATTTCAAAGCTGTAGAAAAGATAATATGGCTTTAAAAATTAATATATTTTTAATCAAAAATTTCAATAAAATAATTATATAAAATTAATAAACTAAAATGTCAAAAATTAAATTAATTATTTATTTTATGTAATCAGATGACATAATATTAATACATTAATATATTAAGTTTTCTTTTTGATTTTTTAATACGATCTAAATCCTTAGTTTATTTATTAAAAGAATATGAAAATCTAGATAGCTTCTATAATATATTTAGTAGTTACTATTGGATCTTGTGCCTAGAAATCAATTTTATTTACAAGACATGGGGCTCGATCTCCTAAAGTTTATACTGAAATTGATAAAAATTATTATTGGAATATTAAACCAGAAGATTTGACCTAAATAGGATTATAATAACATAAACAATTAGGGGAGAGTAAAGCTGGAAATTAGATTATGGATAAAAATGGGAATTGTATCTATGAAAACTTAGAAATACAAGCCTCCACTGATTAAAGGGTTGTGATGTCTACAATTGGATTTTTAAAAGGTTTATGCCCAAATAATTATGTTGAGATAATAAAGAGATTTTTTATAGAATATTATGCACAATATTCTACTAATATAGAAGCATGGAATTAAATAATGTAATCTGATTTCGCCAATCCATATGAATTAGATCTTCATTATTTTGTAAAAGCTAATGATTTCTTGTTTCATGGACATTAACAATCTGTATGTCCAGCAATTAAAAATATAAAGTAATAAATTTAATCTAGTGATTACTATAAATCAAAAGAAAAATCATTCAAAAGTAGAGTTGAATTTGATGAGGTATTTTCCATCATACAAAGAGCTTATCCAAGCAAAACTCTTGATAAAAAGTCAATTACTTTAAATGAAATTTAAGACATCTTTGATGATTATTCGTGTAATACTGTGCAAGGATTTATATTTCCAAATCCATCAGAATCTGCTATCAAATATATGGAAGAAGTAGTTATATTTATTAGATATTATGAAGATAATAGTGAATTATTGGAAAATTATGCATAGCTCTCTGAACCTTTTAAATGGTTAATTTCCTAGTTGTATTCTACTTCTCCATTTAGTTGGTATTCAGGTCATGAATCTAATTAGTTTGCTATATTATCAGTGATATCTGATATCCAACCAATCATACCATTTGCATCTTAATTAGATTTTATAGTAAAAAATGAACTTGTTATGGTTTACTTTAATAAAATTCAAATTTAGACAAAATTTTGTTAAGATGGTTACTATTGCACAAGAGAACAAACAGTTAATTTTTTAACGTAATATATACATCCAGATTTAAACACCCTTTGCAATCTAAAATGATTCAATAATATTAAATTATCATTTTCACAATTTATTATTATTTCTTGTAAAAATAAAAATTAATTTAAAATTTTTATTTTACATCTTATTTAATTAATGTGTTATTTTCATTCAATCATTTGAGAAAGTTTAAATAATGCCATTAATATTGTAATATATGAATTTCGAATTTCTATTGCCAAAATCTTTGTTATAGTATCTTCATTTTTTAAAAAATATTTTACTTTTCTACTTTCATCCTCTATTCTTATCAGTTAATATGAAAAAATTATCTACCAACTTATATTTATATTTACCACTTTCTTTCGTCATAGATAACATCAAAAAATTAAATACTTAGTTGTCTTATATTTGTTTTTTCTCATTATGACTAAAAAGATAGTTAAGCTATAAGAATAAAGGTAATTTTAAATTTTATTAAAAGGTGATTTACATGAAATTTTTTTTGGCTGGTTTAAGGTAAAAATAGATGACAAAATGTATAAAAGCATTTTAAATCTATAAACAAACAATTAAGGTTGCAAAAATAAGAAATTTATTCAAATAACTAATTGAGAATGTCAAAAAAAAAATGAATATATATTTGCATACCTAGATAATAATTATTAAATCATTTATTTCACTTTTATTAGCTATTTTCCAGATTCAAAAAACATAGTAACTTTTATTTAATAATTGTATTAATTTCCATTTATTTTTTTAATGAGATCTTTTTTCTTCTGGAAAAATGTTCCACATTAATTTTATAGAATTATATAAAAGGATGTTAATAGTTTTAAGCCAAAAATAACAAATAAATTATTTTATTTTAAATATATGATTATTCTTTTTCGAATTTTGTCAAAAATTTCTAATATCGTTTTTCTGGATACAATTGAAATGATCTTGCATAGGAGAGATGAGCAATTATTATTTGAATGTCGAAATATTAAACAAAATATACAATAAAAATCTCCTTGAGCCAGGTGACTGTCTATAAGAAATTAAGTTTTAAAATTAAAATGTAATAATTTAAATAATAATTATTAATTTTGGATATGCTTAAATTATTTTCTGCAAGACGTAAAAATGATTTTTTAATTACAATGCACCACTTTCAAAAATTATAGTAGTACAATTAATAAAGCCAAATTCACTCTTATCAATTCTTTCTTTTACAGACATTTCATATATAAAATAAGCATTTCAACAGAAAAAGATGTCATATATAATCGATTATTCTAAAACAGTTTTCAGAAAATTTAGATTTAAATTTTCAAATTTTTGTAGTTAAATTTCTCTAAGAGCACTTTACTAAAATTCTTGAAGTGACTTGACTAATGTTAAGATTAAATTTGTCAATATTAATGATTCATTTTTAGAATAACCTCGATGCATAACTTTTCTTTTAGGTTAATTATGAACTTTTAAGTCATTAAAAAAGTTTATAAGTTTAATTATTTAGCTTAGTTTTAAGATTAATTTTATCTAATTTGGCTTCTCGATCAAAAATTTTATAAAATATATCAGTTATATTTATTAAATAAATTTCATAAATTTAAAAGTTCTATTGCTTTTTTTTCTTTTAATTTATAAATTGCTAGTGATTTATTAATTAGAAGAAAGATTCTTTTTTTTATGTGACAATATTGTTTTGACTTCTCAAAATTTAATTTTGTTATCAATTAAGGCTATATAAAGACGAAAAAATTGAGTTTATCAATTGCTGAATAAATTTGTTAAATGATATTAAAATAGCTTTCATAACTAAAAATATTATATAATAAGAAGCGTTTTATGTGTATAAACGTAAAAGATTAAACTTTTTTAACATTTGTTATAAAGTTTTCCTTTTACAATTGTATTAATTGGAATAGCTTCAATTAAGATATATTTCATTTTGAATAGATATATTATATTTCAGCTTCACTACTCATAATAAAAAAATTGAAATTAACTTAAATTTTTTTTTAAAGAAGATAAATGGGAATTATATTTTCTAATAATTCAAACAAGAAAAGTGAAATCAATCTAAATAATAAGTAAATCAACTTTTAAGATTTATCTTAGCAATCAATAGTTAGATCCTCAAATAAAAATGTCTGATTCAAATTCTACAACTTAAGATTATGATTGTTAAATTTGGAGTTCAAATTAATAGAGATTGTTAAAGAATCGATTCTCAATATAATTTATTAAAAAAAAAAAAATTAGATACATTTTAGATGGAGAAATCCTTAGAATGTAACTAATTCAACTAATATAAATAGAGATAAAATGAAAGATTTTTATTTAAGGTCCTAAGTGTTGACTAATTTAGAATAGATTTAATATCTTAAATGGTTAGGAAAATATGTAGATGGCCATAAGAAGACTGGAAAATGGGCTGTTAATTGGAGAGGGGAAATACTGTAAGAAATAGGAGGATATTACTCGAATGATGGATTAAAACAAGGTTTATGGAATGAATTAACTTAAAATTATTCAAGGTGTAAATATAAATAGATAATAATAGTTAAGCTCAAGTATTTGAAAAAGGAGAATACTATAAGGATTAAAAATGTGGGATATGGAATTATGTTTACAAAAATAAAACTATGTATTTATTATTAATTAATTTTTTAGAGGAGGAGGATCATATAATTCATAAGATTAGAAGAATGGTAAGTGGACTAATTTGAGCGATAATTTTTGGGAAAAATCTAGAATCACATATTAGGGGGCATATGAAAATGGCAAAAAAGTTGGTTTGTGGGATATTATATAAAATGGAAAATAGGTGTAATAAGAATATAATTATATTAAGAATTGGAGGTGGATTTTATGATTTTGTGAATTCAATAAAAGTTGGTAAGTGGATTGAGTTAAGTACAGATTATTGGGAAAGATCTTAAGTTATTTACATTGGTGAATATAGAAACGGCAAAAAAGTTGGTTAGTGGGATGTTTTATCTATTGGAGGATAAGCGTAATAAGATTAGAATTATATTAAGAATTGGCGGTGGATCTTATGATTATAAAGATTCAAAAAAAATAGGAAAGTGGGTTGAAGTTAGTTCAGATTATTGGGAGAGATCTTAAGTGATATACATTGGATAATATAGAAACGGCAAAAAAGTTAAAAGATGGGATATTCTTTATACTAAGGACTCTGAAGATAATATGAATGATTAAATGTAAGAACAGAAATTATTAAAAAATCAATCTAGATTTGGAGGCCTATATGATGATGACGATAATGAAAGTGAAAACACTGAATACAAAAAGGGTATATGGACTGAATTAAGTGATGGATTTTGGGAGGGATCATAATTAATTTATCGTGGTGAATATAAAAAGGGGAAAAAAATTGGAAAATGGGATGTTTTGAATAATGGAAAATAAATGTATAGTTATGAATTAGACAATTATTTTAGAATAGGTGGTGGATCTTATGATGTTGAAGGCTTAATAAAGACTGGAAGATGGATTGACGTAAGCGATGAATTTTCTTGGGGATCTAAGGTTACTTATTTAGGTGAGTATAAAAATGGGAAAAAGGTAGGAAGATGGGAAATAGCAGCATGGGGTAAATATATGTAAAAATTAAAATATGATTAGTGGTGGTGGATCATATAAAGAAGAGGGCAAATTATTTGAAGTAGGTATTAAGATTGGAAGATGGAACGAATTGAAAGAAGTTTTTGGTTTAAATTCATATGTCACCTATAATGGGGAATATAAAAATGGTTAAAAAATTGGTAGATGGGATATTATTTGGAGGGAAGATGACAAAAAACCTTTTTAATAAATGTAAGATATCAATAAATAATATTTAGTGGTGGAGGATCATACAATGATCAAGAAAATAAAGAGGGAGCTATCAAGATTGGTAAGTGGATTGAATTAAGCGATGGATTTCGAAAATATTCGTAGATCATTCTTAATGGAGAATATAAAAATGGAAAAAAAGTTGGTATATGGAATGAGATAGAGTTAAGGGGTAATAAACTAATTTAAGAAATTAATTATGAAGATTGATGAAAATTAAAGATTCTTTTATGAAAAATTCTATTAAATGTATTGAGATATAATTTAAAATCCAAGAAGCTTTTTTCTAAAATTTTTTCAAGAATATTATTCAAGGAATAATTCTTTGAATATTAATTCTTTCTTCTTGTAATTTATTATCCATACTTCAGATAAACTATTTTAAACTTAAATATTAAATGTTTCTATTCTAAATCATTAAAATTTCAAAATATTGAGAATACTTTAAATTGTAGATTTAAAAAATCTTGCATTTAATATAAAATAATTTCTATTATAATCAAAGATATTCTAACATTATGAATATCTAAAATTTTAAGCTAAATTTATCTCTTAATGATTTTAAATATTAACCATCTAGAATAACTTTTTAATAGAAACTATCTAACAAATAGATTGTAACAATAATTATTAATTCCAAAGTATTTCAAAATTTTTTATCTTTGTTAATCTATGAGCTAATTTAATTTATGATACTAGTAAATTTGTGTTAAAGCCAAATTGAAAATTAAATCCAAGGAACCCTTTATACAAACTTGAATTATCATTAATTCACATCTGCTAATCATTAGACCATCTTTAAATTATTCCAATTTCAATAACAAAAAAGTTAAACACTCATTAATTTCATTTGATTTATTTATATATATCATAATTTTATTATCAATCATCATATTTTGCTTCCCTAGATTTCTCATTATTCTTTATTTCAATTTTTCCATATAGCACTCTTCCTACCTTTCATATTATATATTCCATTTTATATAAGTAACTTATTTATAATCCTCAAATTCTTCATCCAACTCTTCCCATTTCCCTATTTTTTTTAGCTCCACCCATCCATATTATATATTCTTACCTAAACTTATATCTTATTAACATCTATTAATATTTACCATTTCAGATTCCATTTTCCTTTCTTTAAACCTTTCAAAGTATAAACACCATTATAAGTGACTTTAGCATCATTAGAGTATAAAAGCTAAACATTTTCTACTTTAATAATAAGAAACCAAAAATTTCTATTTTTTACGAAATATAAAAATAATATCTTATTTTATTTATTGACTCACCTAAAAAAAAAAAGGTTTAGAGTTTTTTAAAATCATTTATTGATTTTTGCAAATGAAAGCAATCTCAATCATATAATCCCAAATTCTCAATTAAAAATAAATTACTTATGGCGCGCATCATTTAATAACCAGGTTATAAGTATATAAATTAAAATAATTTTCTTAAAATAATAATAATTTTTTTATTAAAAATGCAATGTCCATTTTTAGACCACAATTAACAAGTAGAGAGATTTTGTATAAATTTAAATTGTTGTGAAAAAATGCGCTTATCTTGCAATTAATGCCATTAAGAAAGCTTTCATATTGGTCATTAAAAAGATTAACAATTAATTTCTAATTTACCTAATTATGTTGAAGAAATATCAAATAAATGTGAGAAGGAAATGATTTAGATATTGACGGAATTGAGTGATTAAATTAACTAAATGATTTTTTTACTCAAAGATAAAATTAGAACATAGTTTTAAATCTCTTTAGAAAGGCTAAAGACATTGAATAACATTTAAGTAAATCAAATGTTATGTCAATTTATAAATCTAAACAACGTTAGCCAAGAAATAATAGAATTAAAAGTTGTAGCTCAAATCTTATTAACTACATTAGATGAAAGAATTAAAAACCTTGATTCTAGCCAGCTAAGTTATAAATAATAATCTTCTTAGGATATTGCTGAAGCCAGATAATATTACATAGAAGGTAAATATTTTACTTTAATTAAGGTTTGACATTATTTTAAAAACATGATTATGTAAAAGCCTTGTCTGCATTTGATACATCTTTAATGATCAATCCAAATTAGATCAATGTTATGTTATGGAAAGGTAAAATAAAAGGATAATTTTAGGTGATAGCTTATATTATTGTAATTCTTACTAAGATGCTCTTATGTAATTCAAATAAGTTTTAAAATTAGATTAATCTAACATAGACTCCTTGTATGGAATCGGTATAAATAGATTTTATTAAATTAGGTAATTGCTTATATAAGTTAAACTAATATAGCGAAGCAATCTGTTGGTTTGATAAGATTTTGGTATTGAACTCAAAACATGTGAAGACTTTAACAAAAAAAGGTAAATAATTTTATTCCACATAAATAGGAGACTGTTTATAAGAAATGAACAATTATTAAGAAGCTATCTTTTGTTATGACAAAGCTATATGTGAGGACCCTAGTTAATTTTGGACAATACAATCAAAAGGTTAGATGATATTAATTTTTATAGGATCTTGCTTATAAAAACTTAAAAAATATTAAGAAGCCATTTCTTGTTATGATAAAGCATTAATGTTAGATTAGAATAATCAAATTGTTAAATCTTAAAAAAGCTATTGCGAATAAATGTTACAAAAATGAGTTATGATAATTATCCATAGCAAGATTATCAGTAAAAATATTCAGAAAATACAAAAATATTTCTTAAAGATTAACAGATAATTTTTTTATTTTCTAAATATCTAAATTCTTCTACAATTCCGAAAAAATTAGTTTATTTTCTATTTGAGAAAGTTGATCGAAAATTATTAATATATATTGTTGAGAAATGAAATATGTGACTTTTATAATTACTTATCAAACTTTTCTGTAATTCCAATTGAGATAGCATATAAGACTATAATAATCCTATTATTTAATATCCTAAAATCACTTGATCTTACATACATGTTTGATGTATTATCAAAATGAAATTTCTACTTTCAGCCTAGGTGTTTCCAAAAAAAGCTAATATTGTTGAGATTTTTTATCACCCATCAAATAATGAATTGTTATAATTATAAACAATAAGAAAGCATTGATTATTTTAAAATTAGGGTGGAAAAGAATAAGAATTTTATATTAAGAATGTCAAAAAAAGGAGAAATGATGGCATTTATTATGACATTAAATTATGCAAAAACTGGTACATTAATATAATTAATTAAATAAATATCCATCTTTCGATAATCTCTAGTAGGGCATGGCAAGTTTATTTCTCTTACCTTTCTAGAATTACAAGAAAATTTTTCAATCTCATCATATCTAACAATTCTTTTTTGAACCAAGTAAACACTACAATTTACATTATTTATTTA